TGTATCTCTCATGGACAATAAAAATAAAGTATTACCCTGCATTTCTCACGAATAAGCAAAATGTGGACTGTTCATTGTCTGTGAAGCTACAAAAAATAACTGTGTTTTATTTGTAAGAACAACTCTCAACAACAAGGATATGAGGGATGTTATGCCTTGGAAATTTATCTTCCTGCATTTAGTGCAAAAAGTCTGAAAAAAATCTCACCCTATACAGATCCATAATTTGTGAGGCTGTGTACTCCTGAGATTGATTCAAGGGCTTGAATTTAATGTCTGAAGGTGCTTTGGCTGTATAAGTAAATGGACCAGAGATGGTGTCCAAGTCATGGGTACCTATTGCTACTAATGCTCTTTTCCTAGAAAGAAAAAGAAGACAAAATCACATTTTTACTAAAAATACTTGGAGTTTCTTAGAGATAGTATCTAATGATGCTCTGTACTTCTATGCATTCATAGAACTTACTGAAAAAGGAGGATAATTTTGAGAAGCCCAGAAATTATTTCACAAATCACATTTTATCAAATGTTAACAACACAACAGCAAAGGTAAATCCAGTGGGAATGTTGTAAAACACTTCTGCCTCAACTGTCACCTGAGCTGTAACAGCTATTTCTGTTGAACATTACTGAAAGAGGGCAGAAACAGGCAAAGAAATTAGAAGGATATAGACAGCTGGTATAAAAGATTTCCCTTGGTGTAACTATAATGCCTCTCTGCAACAAGGATGCAGAGTCTTAACATGTGATAAAATCATATTCATAGACACTATACACTACTTTAAATTTAAACACTAACCTGCAAATGTTTTGGTGTAGCTTTTCTTGGAGGTCAATGAAGCTCTCATAGCGTTCCTTGGTAAAAGTTATATTACGGAGGACAGCAGCTACAGCGTGAGGACGGATTTGGACAGTCTGCAGTTTGCAGCAGCAACATGTAAATTTCAAGTACACGGGAAACACAAAATTCCAACTGATTAAATGGGCACTCTTCTTCATAAAGTCCTCTTTCATAAAGTAGGAAAATTCATGCAAAGATATTAGAATGCCAAAGGGGAAAAACCCAAATAAACACAATCCAGGTCGGTAGAGACCAGCAGGTTTGCAATATACTGTGCAATGGCCCAGAAGGTCAATGGAATGTGAGCACCTGAAACTTTGATTTGATCTGCTATTAGGTTCACCCAAATAATTTCTCTCTTGTTCCTCCCCGTCCACTTCACTAAAAATAAATTGCAATGAGTAGAGATATTTAAGTTGTTTTAGCTCTTGTTCTGCAAACAAGATTTCCAGTCTCACTGCTCTTACAAAATTGGCACTGATACAGATCTTGCTGCTTCAGCAGCTCTCAATACATTTACAAAGGTGCAGTAAACACTTTTACCTGTTCAGTGATAATCAGCTTCTGACCTTCACCCTCAGCTGGTATTATCTTTTCATATCTCGGGATATTTATCCTAAAACAAAACCAGAAGTAAGTCTGTAACTGAAAAAAAAAAAAAAAAGCTCCCCAAGTGCAAGAAACTTTAGAAACGTAGCAGCAATATATGTGCAAAACTTCCTTTGTAACGTTTCTTGACATGTAATCAGCTAACTGTTCAAAACTTCTTTTCTATGGGAAGGTAAACAGATTACTGAACTAGAAAGGAAGAACTCAAGAAGATAAAGTCGTAGCAGAAAAGTGAAATAAGTTATTTGTTTTGGTATTTATTACAAAGGATCACAAGGAAGTTTTGCTACAGGAGTTCTTTAGGAGTTCTTTACAGAGGATAAGTCTCAATGGAACAGCAGTTAAAAATTTTTAGAACAGACCCAAAACCCAGTTAACAGCCTCAACTGGTCTTTTAAAGTTATACAGTAGATCCTGTCCAGAGGAACATCTGATGAATCTGATCTACACACAAAATCATATTCATAATCCAAGCAAGTTGAAATTTTATTTACTGACCAGAAATGGACTTGTGTTTCAACAACTAACCAACCACACAAAACTCTCACAACTCTGCCTTACCTTTCTTTAAAAATCTGCAGTCCTCGGACCAGCCCCTCCAGGCAAAGAAGATCATAACGGTTGGCAGGAACATCAATTTTGTAGAGAACAACATCAGATGCACCCTTTGCCTTTTCTTCGCCTTTTTCTTTACTTATAATGTCTTTCTCAGATGTCTGAAATTCAACAAAAATGTGGTTTGAATCTGAAATAACTTGTCACTGATAGGAGTGTGATAGTTATATAACATAATAAGAAAAAACTGTATTAATTGGAAGTTTAACAGTGTAATTTGGATTTATACAACAAATGGACACACCAAATTCGAGAAGTTACATACCATCTTTCTCAGACTAAGGGACTGTAAAGCGGTGTTAAAATTTTATTTTAAAAATAGAGATTTTAGAAACAAGAGTCTCCAGGCTGTCAGATCCCTGTACATAACTGAGACATTTTTGGCAATAGATTGACAAATGACTTATTATCATCAAGTCTATTCTGAAATAAAGCAGAACACATGATGTTCGGATGTGTTTTGATAAATGTCACTAAAAGATGCATAACTTAAAATTAAAAATCAAAACCAAATCAGGTCTACTTGAAAAAGATTCACGTGGATAGAGTTATCAAGGCTAGCAAATCTTCAGAAGTACAGAACCTAAATCAAAACTTTAAATATGAGTTAATTACAACTTGGGTAACAATGTACAGGAAAAATACATTTATTGCAGATGTTGCAACAAATAAAAACATTACTTACAATTTCATCGAGCTCCAAACCAAACTCAAAGCAAAGCTCATCAAATTCTTCGTCCGCTGTGAAGGAAGAAGGTGAACTTTGGTTAATAAGCAGACCCCAGACTTAATTTTTTTTGTGTGTTTGTTTTGAATGTTTTCAAACAAGGTAACAAAGGATTTTTTGAAAACAAATGGGTAGTAATAATTTAAAGAATTTTGCTTGTATTTGCATCTGAGTGGCAGCTTCTTAAGCATATGTACATTTGCTGACATGGTATTCTTACAGTCACAGCAAGGGCTTCTGAGCCTTGGAGCTTAGCTCCTCAGCCAAGCGTGTCAGAGCAATTATGGCCTGAACAGATAATGAAAACAGGAGGGAATCATTGGGCAGCTTCTGCCAATTGCTCCCGTTGTTGTTAAGTCAGGTTGTTACACAGAGGTTGCATCAACTGCGTTGTAGCGTGTCAGTAACACAGCCCTGATCTGGCCATGCAGATCTGTCCTAAGAGCCACAGCCCCTGCGTGGCTCCGAACGCTCCTTCAGCCCAAGAGCCACGATTCTAAAGAGCCGGGAAAGGAGAACTGAATAAAACCACGGTGTCCACCGCTTGCTGTGCCTGCTCCCACCTCTTCCCTCTCCTTTTGACTTAACCAGTCCCTAAAACAGAAACTCCCAGCCAGAAGCCGCGATTTGGAAGGGCCTGGTTCTGATTCCCCCGAGAGATCCGGGCTCGAACAGCGCCCACGTGCGCCACGGACTAGAGGGGCAGGGCCGGCCCGTGGCTGTGCCCGGCGTGCCGGTGGCTGCCGAGGGGCAGGCGGGTGGGCTCGGGGGGCACCCGGGATGCGCCACCGGGATCGCCCGAGGGGTCGGAGCTGTCCCACACGGGACACCCCGCGCGGAGGGCGCGGCCGTGCCCGCTCAGGGGCTCGCCGGCCCGCGCCGATCGCAGCGCGGCAGCCGCGGTGCTGGGCCGGGGGATGTCGGGACGCATCCCCGCGGTGCTGGGCCGGGGGATGTCGGGACGCATCCCCGCGGGTCCCGCGGATCCCGGGAACACTCACTGTAGGGCCTGCCCAGCGCCTGGAACAGCAGCTCCCGCTTCACGCTCACGGTCGGCATGGCGTTCTCCCGCACCGCGCCTGCGCTGCCCGCCCGTCAGGCCCCGCCGCGCTGCCCGCCGCTCGCCCCCCGCGGCCCCCGGGGCGGGCACGGCGGGGACACGGCGGGGACACGGCGGGGACGGGCGGCCGTGGGGAGGGTCCGCCCGTGCCCTCCGCCCGGCCACGGGGAGGGAGGCGCGCCGGGCCCCGGCAGCGCGGCGGGCAGCTACGGCCGTGACATCAGCCCGCCCGAGGGGACCCGCCATGGCGGCGGGAGGGGCCGGCGGAGAGCGGGGGCACGGCCTGTTGGGGACGGGGTGTCCCGGTACTGGCGCTGTCCCTGTCCCCACATGGCACCCCCACTCCCTGCCCTGTCCCCGTTCCCATATGGGACCGCCAGTCCCGGGCGCTGCCGCCGTCCCCGCGGGGAAGCGGGTTCAGCCGGGGCAGCTCTGTGCAAGTTTCGGGAGTGTGTTTTCTTTTCAATTTTCTTTTTTTTTTTTTTTTTTTTTTGGTGGGGGTGGTGGAAGGGGGCGATCCCTGTGACGGACACCCCGGCAGCGAGTAGAAGGCTGTGCGTGTGCTGGTTTTAATTAGAAACGAAAGGCTTGACCCCGAACGCGGCAGGAACTCAAATTTTAAGTTCTGGGTCAGCTCCATAAGCTCTTTAATGGTGTAAGAGCCTTAAGCGCGTCCGGGAGCGCCGGCGCTCCGGGACGCTGCGAGAGGGAACGCTGGCCCGGACCGTCAGGTGCGGGCACAGCTGGCTCCGCGGGTGCGGGGGGTGTGAACACACCTGACTCCGCGGGTGCGGACACAGCTTGGCTCCGCGGGCGCGGACATGCCCCGATAAAGCCGCGGGTGCCTCCGCCCCGGTGCCGCTCAGCACCGTGAGCAGCCGCGGCATCCCGGGCCGTGCGAGCTGTCTCTGAGGACGGGGGTGTAGCAGGACCAGCCCCCGCAGCCGCGCCCGGGCTCTGTCCCGCTCCAGGATCGTGTTTCCGACGGCCGGGGCGGGCGGTGCCGCCTCCCCGTCCCCGCCCGCCGGGGCCCGGCCGTGGGCAGCGCCGGCGGCAGGAGGGGCGCGTCCTCCAGCGGGGCCGCGGCAGAGCAGAGCGGAGCGGGCAGGTGCGGCGGGCTGGGGCTGAGTCTGGAGCCGGCAGGTCCGCGCCTCCCCACGCTGCTGTCCGCCCGCCAGCATGAAGGTCGAGTTTGCCCCCATCAACATCCCCCTAAAGAGGAGGATCCAGACAGTCGCCGTGCTGCAGTGGATCTTCTCCTTCCTCCTGCTTGGTAACAGCCCTCCTTCCTACACTTGCCCCAGAGGGAAAATGGCTTAGAATCGGCTTTTTCCGTGGCCGGCGTTACCTGTGTGCATCGCTCTGTGCCACCCTGTGGCTCCACGTGGGTGCAGAGGCGGCGGCCGCAGGCGAGCAGCAATCCGGCGATCCCCGGGCGGGCAAGAGCGTCGCACTTCTTTCTTCTCTTAAAGCTCTGGATGGCTTTTCCTCTTTTTTTGGGTCTATTTCTTCCTATGGCTTCTTTTTCAAATATAATCCTAAAAAGCTAGTGACTGTGTCTTCACGCTGAGGCACCGTCCAGGTTTCTGACAGCAACTTTTTACTGAACATGAGCATAAAGTCTGGTACATGAGTAATGCTGTTTTCATTAGTAATTTTGTAAAATAACTTTATATGCTGTAGTTCAATAATAAAATTCTCGTTTAACTAGGTGATGACAATTAATAGGGATTGTCAAGGAACTGGCTCAAATGCAGCCATTTCTGTAAACATATGAAAAATGTCCTCATTTGCTTTAAGAAAGTGTTCATAACAATTCTACTTGATAAACTTTTTCCACTGATTGTTCCTCTATAATTAACGTTTCTAATATCTTAATAGACACCTATCACTAAACACCTATTCACAGCAGCAAATGTTATTCACATGGGTAGTTATCTTGAACTCGATGGAATGGGTGACTTGATAAGGTAAGAGAAGCCTTAACTCTCTCAGACTAAAGCCGTGGATTGTGTAAATTGGGAAGTGATTATCGAATAATCTGTTCCGAGGTACAGAGCAACTGACTACCCGTGCCTTACTGGAAATGTTGGAACGCTTCACGATCGTCTATGCCTTAGGACTTACAAGGAGAAAAGGAATGTGTGCATGTCTTTCTTGTTTTACAAATATATTATCCTTCAGATGGTGTGATGTCTTTCAGATTATTTCTTTTTTTAGGCTGTTAGCCCACACATGAAAGATTTGTGTATGTGGGAGAAGCACGGAGGGTGTGAAGCATCTTCATAGATTTATTTATCCTTAGCATTTGGCTCTTTTGTTACCTTTTAATTATATGTAGTTGGAGTATGAACTGTTTGTATTTTTGTCTGCATGGTAAATAGTCTGTACTTCTAATTTTCTGTTATTGAATTAGATCTTGGCAACTGCCATTTTTCCGGTCTCATAATGCAGTGGAAGTTCAGTGGCAATGGAAGTAAGTTTTTTTATCCTAGCAATGCTACTGCAGAAAAACACATCCTTCTGATCTTACTAGAAGTGATTGGGATGCAGAAAATCCATTCTCGCTGTAGTTCAGCAGGAGAAGTAGGCAGCTGTCATCTGCAGCTGGTGCTGTCTGGGAATAAATGTCAAGGAAAATCAGCAAGGAAGTGGTCTTATGGCTGGTTTATGTTGGGGTGTAGTGAGTACATGCGACCATGAAAAAATCAGTTTGCAAGAATGTTTGAATTTTGGTGAACAAACTGATTTTAATAATGATTATCTGCTTGTGCTTCATGGGGTTGTTTATCTTTAGAGCTATCCAAGGTGACCTTTTAATTTCATAGGCGTAAGCTTTCAGTCATGGGGCAGTCAGTGATCTGGCCAAAAAGTTTCATTTAGCTGCAGGAAAATTCAGGTGGCTGAATCCTAAATGACTTAAAGGAGTGAAAAAAGGGCTGGTTTCTGAAGTTCTGGATTGTTTCTATGTCTGGATTTTTTGTCTTCCTCCCCCCGCTGTGCAGATAAAATAGGGAAACATCTGTTTGTAAGCTCTTGAAAAAGTGACACTTTCAAATCATGGAGGGGATGTCCCAGTACAGGTGAAATACTGAAATACTGTGTGAGTTGATTGCAGGAGACATTTGAGATTTAGGTGCTGTTTGGAGGTTTGTATGTGGCTGCAGCTAGTTTATGGCAAGCAAGATCTTATGTAGATCAGTCTGTCTTGTGTTAAATATCTACATGTGAAAACATGAACAGATAATGCCCCGTGATAACTCATGATTCATATTATAGATAGAGCTATTATGTTTAGAGCAGTGAATAACCAGGCTACTGGCCTAGCTCCTAAAGTTGTCCATCTAGGTATGTGGTGACATGCCATAACTTAGTAAAAGAAATTATAGGACTAACAGATAAAGTAAGATAACTCTAGAAATTAGTGCCCTGAATCACAAAAGCTCAGTCGGTTAATGATACCTTTTAAATCAGAGTGACATGGGAAAATGTGATTTGGCACACTGAATAAGCTGTGAGGGGAATGTGAGCCTATTACAACTTGGAATTTGTAATGTGACTTGGATAGAAGACTCAGAAAATTAAGCATTGGTTTTATCTTCCTGGCTGAGAAATGTAAAAATCCCTTTCTCTCCAGGCTTGCTTTCTCGTAATGCTGCATGGTTTTCTGAGACTCTGGAATTGATGACTAAAAATGCCCTCTTGCTTTTGTGCCTAAAGGCTATGCACAAGTTGGCCTGAAATACAGACATGCAGTCTTATCTCCACTGTAGAAAGACCGAATCAGTCAAAAAATACTGAGAAAACAGCTGCAGCAGAATGGTACAAGCAAAGTTCTGCTTCTTCATGCAGCATGCAAACTTAGGCTGGGTCTGCACTACAGATACATTGCTTCTGCTGTCCAGCGTAGGCAGAGTAAACATGCCTCTGCCTCAAAAAAAGCTGTACAGATGTGCACAGAATTTCATTACACACAAAGGGAACCTCTTTAAAATTCTGGCTGTAAGTTCCTGTGCTTCCTTGTTCTGTGCTGCAAGCTGCCAAAGTTCACCCTCAAAGGGGAAAGACAAGTTTTCATTGTAACAGTGATTTGTCTGTTTGTTATCCAAGGGCATGACACCAGAAGCAAAAATAAGTTCTGAAATACTGGGTTAGATGAGAGAAATGCCCATTAACAGATTCCCACCGCATGCTGGTTGAAACTGCAGTATGGTTTCCTATCTTGTGTTCTCCAAGTGCAGCAGACCAAAAAGGTTTAGTTGTAAGTTCCATGAAAAGGTGTTTTAAACGGGCTTCCCTCTTTTGAAAGGAAAGTGTTATTAGTCTGGAGTCCAGAAAACTAAACCTATGAAAACTAAAAATGAGGAAATATGCTGAAATGATACTGTTACTTGCAGTATTAGGCAGGTATCCAAAAGAGCTTCAGGCTGAAGGATAATGTCAAGCCATTAGTGCTATACTGCTGAAACAGCAAATATATGAAGTTTTGCAATTTTATAGTACCTACTTTGGAAAAAAGCTGAAACAAGCCATTTTGATTGGTAGTTTTTATGGCTGTAATTACCTTTGTTAGAGATTCATCGTCTTGGCCAGGGACTGACAGTCCTGGGGCTGGTCTGCCCCCTTCCAAGCTCAGGCAGCACCTGCATCGTGTCTCACTGTGAAGTTGCTTGCTGTTGATCACTCTGTGCCATCGTCCAGCCCAACTCCAGGCAGAAAGTCACCTGGGAAATGAAATCTCCGAGCCTGTAAGTGCTGCTGGACCAACAAAGCAAAGGAGTAACATCACTTACGTTTTTGTACTGTAGGTTTTGTGGTACACACACACAAAAAGAATTGTCACTGTCAATGAATACAATGGATGTCCCTGGTGTTTAACACGGAGTCTTTGTTTTTAAGCTTGGAAATATTTTTCTTAAGAACTTTGAATTAATTTTATGTGTTATGTGTTTACCACTATCTGATATCCTCCTGTTAGGAATAGGTTTTCTGTTTCGTGCACAGTAATTGAGCAGTGATTTATCCTTGGTGTGTGAGCTGTGTGCCTCAGTACTGCACATCTGTATCAGGAGGTGAGCAGTATCTAAGCAGGAGGTAGATCAGAGGGTTCATTTAAAGACAAAACCATTTAAACTAAACCCCAAAACAACAATAAAAAACCCAAAACAAAATAAAATAACCTATAACAAATAAAAACCTAAACAAACAAAAACGATCAAACCAATCAGATTTGGTTAAAGTGCTGCTTGGCAGATGCTTTAGCCTTTTGTTTTCCTTTCTTTCTCATGTGCACAAATCAAATCACAGCATTTTGGAGAAAATAAAGCTAGAAGGTGGGTTGGTGAGCTTCTGTCCTGCTAACTTCTATGCAACTGATGTGAAAAGGGACAGTGGAGTTTGAGCCTGTACAAAATCAAATGCATAACTAGGTAACTTGGGTGGAGTGGTGATGTCTTGGATCAGATGATGATGAGAGGAAAATGAGAGTTTACCCCTATGACAGGGATATCAGTGTTTTGCTCTGAGACAAGGTGGTGGTAGGGGAGAATGATGCATCTTCTAAGGCTCACTTTTGAGGTCCAGCTGATCTTCCTCACTGGGGATTTAGGAAGTGACTGTTGTGCAGGCATGCCTGTGTTTACTAGCAAAATACATACAAAATCAGTATGTAATATAAGGTACACTTTAATCTGCATGAAGCCACAAAATAATATGCTGAAGACATTGTTATATATTAGAGTACATCCTGTTTTCTAGTGATTAAACTTCCATGCATGTAGGATGAAACAGTCTGTTAATTGAACTTGCTGGAGACAGTTTGGGGCTGTGGATCTGGCTTCCCCAGAAGAACAGAAATGATGGAACATTTGCCACAGGGTGAGATATTGCTGCTGAAATAATAAGTGATTTCCGTGTTGAGAAAGCAGGTAATGTGCTAAAGCAAATTATAACTTTTTCCCCAAATATGCCGTGGTTGTTTGTTATCTGGTGTTGATTTAATTCATCAGCGATAGCTGGCTAATACGGTCTTGTTCTTCCTCAAATCCTTTTTTTTAAAAAACTCTTGATCATTAAAAAAACTCAGCTAAGCTCCATGAGCCTATCCTAGCAAGCTGCCTGGTATTGCTACATGTTTGTGTCAGTCTGTAATCATCTATCCATAAAATTTATTGCTGGCCCATGGGTAGGGACAGAAGTGTGATCATAGGGAATAACAGGGTACTTACTGATGCCTGACTGACTAGTATTTCTAGGAATACTGCTTCTGTTACCTTCGTTTTAGGGAGGGAATTTCACCATATATCTGTGTATATTTGTTTGTATCTCAAGAATAAGAAGAGAAAATGGCTGTGCTGTGTCAGGCCAGAGCCCTGGCCTGGCAACCTGTGTGTGAACATAATTGACAGTGGATGCCTACGGAGAGATAGAAGAAACAGGAAATATGTAGACTAAATTTGGCATGCTGTTTCGGGATTTGGTAATTAGTAACCGAGGGATTTATGGTATCCAGACCGCTCTATCTGCAAGTCAGTAGTGCTTAATGCTCCGTATCTGTAGTTTATCAGTGTTTGTCAGTGCAAGGTCTTGGGAACTGCAACCAAATTTCAGCGTAAACAAACCTCCAAACCTTGCATCTTAGAGTGGTTTGTATTTGTTATCACAGCCCTGTTGAAATACAGCTCCCTTGGTAGGAATGCTCAAATATCCTTGTGACTGGGACTCCCAGTTGTAACCAATAACCTAACAAAGGCCCTCCACTACAGGAGACTGACACATATTCAACAAATGCTGGCCACCTGACCACCTCAGATGGATACCAGATTCCTGTGGGCTTCAACAACTTCCCAGTGCAGTTAGTTTAAATATGTTCCCAGCTTTTTCTTTGCTGAGGAGTCTGTATGTGCCATGGGTAAAAAGTGACAGCAAGTTCCTGTGCTCCTGGTGGAAATTCTTAAATTGACAGAATTGCACAGACTAGTAGGCTTTAAACAAGATAGTACTAACATCATGACTCCATTTTTTTAAAAGAGACTTTCTGTATAAAAGCTGCAGAGGCAGGAACTCATTTACTGTTGCCCTGGCAGGTTGCCTCCTTTCAGGTGTTACTTATTGTCCTTGGTCTTACTTTGGTGGGACTGTTGGAGTCTGTTTGTAGTATTTGTTACTTCATTTAAATTTCAGTCACTTTCTTTATGATTTATAGGTAATGCAGAAAGTATCTCCATAAATTAAGGCTGACTTAATTTTTATTTTTCTTTTCCAGCATGAAAGAATCCACTAAGCGGGGAAAGTAATTTTTTTTTAATGCCAAAATTAACTTATTGGTGGTATCTTGAGGGATAATAGAGAAGAGCAAATGTTCATTGGGGATGAAAACATCACTGTGCAATTCTCCTTGTGTGTTCCCTCCAATGTTCTGTTCCTAACCCAGCTCGGAGTCACTGCTCTGAAAACTAAAGGTGTTCTGTTAAAGGTATATCAACATGGTTGTTGAAGGATATGCCATATTTTGTTTTGTAGGTTTGGTTTTTTTTTTCTCCTCTCTGTCCACAGGTGTAAGAAATGAACTTTTCACCTTGCTTTGTCAATTGGTATGCACATGTACTTGTAAAGCCCAGAGAAGTACAATATTAAAAATCACATCTCTACCTGCCTATTCAGGAGAATGCCAGGGGAACAAAGATGCTTTATTTATCATGTCCTTGGTGCGATGGGGTTCAAATTGCTGAACTCTGAAAGTCTCCATCTCATTTGAAGCATAGCAACATAATGTGTTTACAGAAAACTTTGCTAATGGCATGTGGGAAATGGCAGGGGCGGGCTCGTAGTTGAGAGCTGTCAGGCAGTGTGGAGGTTTTGGAGTGAGCTGCTTTGCATAGGTTTTTGGGGCACTACAGAGAGCCAGTAGTGCTGGTTGGATTGAGACCAGCACCCTTGGCACCTAGGACACACCTGCACTGTCTGGGCATGGTTTGAGACTGCTCTGAGAGTAATGGGAGGCTTTTCTTCTACTGGACAATCTTACATTTGGTGGCCCTCGCATTAGATATTGCTCAAACATTTTTGACTCCTTAATAACTACAAATACATTTGGATCTTCTATAATTGTGGCCATCAGCTGTATTTTGTCACCCAATATGGTGTTTTCCTACTTCCTACCTCTGTGGTATTTTAACTATTTTATGAATTTGGTGCCCACAGCTGCAAACTCAGAGCCTGTTCGATGATTGAAGTACAAGGTGTTCAAACATCATGGGGCAGGATGGCTTCCAGTGCTGCTAACACTACATCCATTTGTTGCAACAGATGAGTATCCACATGTTGTATAAATGGGGAAATGGAGGAAAAGGGACTCGCCAACATTGGCTGGAAAAGCTGATTTTCAGAGTCCCAGGGCAGTGATATTTCTTTTAATCTATATTTCTTTTCCCCACACTATTCCAATACACCATAGAGATATTTTTCAAAGCTTTAATTCAAGTTCAACCAAAAAATTATGCTTACAGCATACACAGGATTACATCCAAGGATGTAATGATATAGTAGAGTGATGAATTCCAAGTTACTCACCTTTTGCCTGGAATTTGTTTGTGAATTTGGGTAAAATGATTGCCATTTGTTTACTCATTGTCTCGTCTGAAGGAGAAAACACCCGGTTTGTGTTTATAGGCTCACTGGGTTTGAGTCATCACTGTTTAACTCACCTTTCAGGCTCCTAATGCATTGAAATAATGAGGAGGTATGGTAAAAGGAATTTGCCACATGTCTCATAGGGAATGCAGTAATCGACTTTGTCCTACAAGATGCTGAGCTCTCCTAAGGAAGTGCTAACAGCACGCTTATCTCCCCATACCTTGCATGCACTCAGGAATGTGTTCTAGCTAAAGCAAAGCGTTGAACTTGTTGATCTCGAGTATGTTTGTCTGCATAGGATTAAGTGTTGCTATCTGGGCCTTCTCCCTGCTGATTTAATTAGGTCTCACAGCAAGGATGCTTTGATTAAAAACACCTTTCAGCTATTTGGCTTGGAAACTGATAGCAAAAACCCACGTGATGCTGAACTGAGCCAAATGTGCTTCTGTGAGGAAGGTTAGCAAATATAAATACTTAACAAGTTTTTCGTACCAACTTGAAACTAATAGATTTATGGCGACTTAAAAAACTTCTCATACTTATTCAAACTTAAACTGTGAAATTCAGCATCCTCTCCAGATTAGCATTGGTAGAAATTCCTGTAGTTTCAGAATCTCTTCTTCAAAGAACAGGTAGTGACTTTTTCTCAAAAGATTTCTGTGCCCTATTTTGAAGTGATGCTGGTGTGGGATTCCCGGTGATTTCTCCATCTGGAGCAGTGGAATTGAGTGTCGTCTTCCACCTGTGTTACTTGTCCTTCATTAGTTATGTTGTGTAGAACTTGTTGCAACTCCTGTGAGTTTTCCTCATTGACTTTGGAGGTCTGTGGGTCTCAGTTAGCTGCTGCTCTCACTGAAGTGCTCTTCTGTGCAAAACTCGGGTTGCCTGCTGGAGCAGGAAGCAGTGAATTTCTGTACTGAGGAATGGAGTATCCTTCGAAGTGGTAGATTTGATCCTGCTCTTGGTTTTGTTTATGGTTGTTTCCTCTCCCTTCCTCAGAGCAAATGAAATTCCTTATTTCTGTGCTCATATCCCTGCCATAAATGAGAATGTTCATCCCTGTCTTTCCTACTCAATCTAACCAGCAACTTTGCTTTCTCGGTCTGCTTCTGGATTCTGTGGTAGTTCTCAGTTACCCCATGACAAGATATTCGTGTCTGTTCTGAAGGCACAGTCAAACCAGGCACAAGGAGGAGTTGGCTTAAGTTCAGAAAAAGTAAGTATTCAGGTTGGAGGAAGTGCAAGGGTGTCATTAGGCCAAGTTAAGCTCTGAATTTCAGCCTCTCGAAACCTACTTAGTCTGGGAAGTCTGCTGTGAGTTTTCAATGCCGAAGCAATATCTCTTGAAAGAAGGTGATCTAAACTAGGATGAGTGGTTTTTACTGTTGGTCCATTTGCTTATTTCAAAGTTTTCAGTTCTGGTGATATTTACCTTGTGTTAGCCAAATTATTGCCTGAAGTACTTCTGTTGTTTGTTTTAATTCTGCTCTATTTATGGGTGTATTTAGCTCAGTATGTTTCACTGGTATAATTTCTTTTAGGACATAACAGGATATTTCCCCCATGAAAGCCAGTCAATTGGGAGACACAAAGTGCTACTTCTGCTCTGTAAAATGCCTGTTTCCTACAACTCTGCCTGTTGAGTTTTCCAGTGAGGACTGCGTCCTGTTTTGCTTGCCATTCTGTAAATACATGATGCTAAAGCCCTGACTCCCTTTCAAACCTCGAATGCAGCACCTGATCCATGAGCCTGATGGGGTTTTCAGGAGGTGTCAGAGCAAGCAGGCTGCTGCAGGGAGTACCACAGGGCAGAGAGCAGCAGGTACCTCTGTACTGCTCTTCAGCCAGCTCTGCCCAGGGCTGCTCAAGTTTCTCCAAGAGTGTAAAATTCTGCAAGTTCTACAAAGATGAAGTTTCCCTAGTGTTTCCCTGAATAATTATTTGAGAACTGAGTCATAAAGTAACACGCTGTGTTTAATCAAACAGCTTTTTCTTGCTCTTTGAATTGTGTATAATACAATTATTATGTATCGTTATTGTAGCAGGATGTTCTTACAAATGCATGAGGACTTAAAACTGGTGTTGTGTTCCCATAGCAATGGTTGACTTCCACTTAGAGTGATGTGTTTAGTGTCTAAAGTGGAACCTCTTGATGTTTTATCTTGTCTAATGCATCTTCTTGACCACTGACAGCACTTTTGACTGGGATTAGAACTACCATTCCAATGTTATAGGTAGAGAAACTAAGAAACAGAACGGAAAAATAATTGCCCAACACTGCTCTCATTAGAAAAGAGATGGTGCTGTGGTCCCCTTTCTGTTCTTTCCTTCCACAGTTCTCCTTTATTCTCACTCCCTGGAGCTTCACATCCCTGTTAGTTCTTGCTATGTCCTTTTTTCCTAAAAGCCTTAGGTAAACCAGATGCTCTCTACCAAACATTAGTTACCCAATATCCAGTTGTGCAGTAGAAGGAGAAATAATAGACTGAGGTGGTGTACCTATGAGATGTTTCACCATCAGGGTAACGATGCAATGTGGAGTAAGTTGAGTTCAATTTGTTTACATTATGAATAACATCCATAATAAAAAAATCAGGGCAGGACATTCAGGGTCTTAAAAGGAGACAGGTGTGATTAATGGTTTCCTTTCCCTTTCTGTATCTTGCAGCACAGTTTTGCTGTGGATTCTTCGTGATCCTGATCCTGGGAAACTTCTGGTTCCTTGCTGTGCTGTATCTGCTGTGGCTCTACCTCGACTGGGAAACACCATGTGCTGGGGGCAGACGGTCCCAGTGGGTCAGAAGCTGGACTGTTTGGAAGTACTTCAGGGAATACTTTCCCATTCATGTGAGTAAGAGGTTTCTCACAGAACTCTGAATATTGGAACAGAGGCAGCTTGAACAGCCATGAGCATGGACAACTGTCTAAGACTCATCTTTGGTAAAATTCTAATTCACTCCAGGGTGAACTTAACTTATTTTTAAAATATGGGAAATCTGAGATTTAGTGACAAAAAGAGGCAGGGCCTGGTTTTCTGCTTGGACTGTTGTGTCACAAGGTAGTGCCTCAGCACAGTAAATGCTAGTCATGATATACTGAGACACATCTGTTTAAACTTCGTTCATCTGTAAAATGGGACAATGGTTTAAAGTGCTCAGAAGGAGATGAGTTGTCATCGGTTCTGTGTCCTGTCAATGTGCAATCTCCCTACTTGTTGTTTTTGAGGTAAGTATTATAATGTCCTCCACTGGCTCTATTTTTCAGCTGATAAAAACTTCAGATCTGAACCCAAATCACAACTACTTACTTGGCTTTCACCCTCATGGGGTCCTGGTAGCTGGAGCCTTCGGAAACTTTTGCACCGGTCCAAGTTTCAAAAATTTATTTCCTGGGCTTACTCCATATCTTCATATCATGCCCATCTGGTTTGGCTGTCCCTTCTTCAGAGAATACGTAATGAGTGCTGGTAGGTAAAAGCAGAATGTCTCAGCTGTTCCTCCATGTTGTAGCTTCTGCTTCAAATGTAGGGTCTGTTCCTCTACTTATAAAGGTAAGTAATTTCACTTTAGAAGGATCAGTGTTGATGATAAATTTAAGCTGTATTTTGTAGTGAAATGTTGTAACAAAACAACTTGGAAGGTTTTAGTAATAGTTTTGTTAAATTATACCGCTGAGCTTTTCTTCCTTTCTGAAAAAAGTTCGCTGGTTATCTCTTGAACGGTGAGACAGCAGTTGAACTGTGAGACTGAGTACCCTTTATATGCAAGAAGACAAGGGCAGAATAGTTTATAATGTTATTTAGTCATTGAGCAGGCACTTGTGAAACAAATTCAGGCTAATCTCTTACCTGAAGGGCTTAAAGTCTTACTCATCAGAAATATCTTTCTAGTCGGATCTTAATTCCATGCTTCTGACTGAGGTCCCATATTGCAAATTTGTGTAGTTTTAATTGAGATGTAAACTCTAAAGACAGGAGCATTTTTTCTCTGTTCTGAGCAGCACTTATCATAAAGGGGTGATAGTCATGACTAGTGCTGCAGTAATGAAAAATAAGCACTAAAGTTGGGGGAACAGAAGAATGAGTCATGAAATCAGGACTAGTGTTCCCCCACAGTGTTTAATACAGGAGTTATTTTACTTAAATTCACTCAACTAAAGCATTTTGTATGGTCTGATGCACAAGACTAGGTTTAGAAGACAGAGATCTAACTTTATTCCTGACTGTAACACAGTGGTGTGATCTCAATAAGCTACTCCATTCATAGAAACAGGCCTAGGGTGTTTTTCAGATTAATATCACAATTACGTATCTACATATAGATCAACATAGCAAAGAATGCCTTTCCAGACAAATGTTATTTCTGAGGAGATTCTTTGAGGCTTGCAAAGTGAAGGATTGGCAGTGGTAGAATATGATCATTTTAAATATTGTCTTTTAAACCCTGTTAAACTTCCTAGGCTGGAAGTCAGCTTTACTTGTTTTTGGCATCTTGACCCCCAGGAACAAATATTTACCTGCAGGATAAGAAACAACTGCAATAAAAAGCATGCAAAAGAGTAAGTCAGCATTGGAGCTCGGTTTTCTGGGTATGCAGCTGATAAACCAGAGAGGGCCTTCGGTGTAATACAGGTTATCAGTCAAGTCATGAAACACAAAATCTTCCTTGTACTGCAAGCCGTGCTCCTAGCACATTGTTTCATTTCCCAGTGTTGTTCTGCCTGTCTCCAAAGCCTGCCTGGCTGGAGTTGTCTCTGCACTGGGAAGCGCAGTCGCAGCAGTCCCGAGCTGTGCTGTGAGTGAGCAGGGAGCAGTGCCCGTATGCAGGCTGACATCTCGGCCTCAGCAGTGGGACAGATTTGTCCTGGGGAAACTCAGTGGCCCTTGCTTTCCTTTCCAGAGAAGATGCAAGCTGATGTGTGAATGAGAATCACTTGAATTATTTGCGAGTCAGCTGCATTTTTCAGAGTAAAAGTGACTGTGAAGACCTATATGGCAAGTGGAAGTAGCTTTTTACTCAGGTTTGAACTTGCTCCAGTAGCAAGCTACTCCTCTTGGTGGCCAGCTCTCAAAACTAGGTTACAGTAATTTTTCCTTTTTTATGAAATTTTTATAATCCACATTGTAATGTCCCTGGTAGAAAAACACCCAAGAGAGTAACAGGACATCCAACAGAGTGCATTTTGCTACCAGCTCTGTTAAACCAACCACAACATCAATTAGACTTGATCTCTAAATTGTCATTTGGATTATATTAATTCAACACAGTGTATTTAAACATGGCTTCTCGGTAAATGGTACTACTATGAGCCTTTGAAGTAAAAATTAGGGTGCAAAGGAACTCTGGAAAGGTTAGGTGAGTATCTGTTAGAAAGGGGATTTTTCAAAGCACTAAGATCTAAATCATTGATAAAGGCTTGTACAGCAGTGTGCTTCTGAGTGGGAGTACCACAAAAGCTTCATGTAGCCTGCTATTTTAGCCTAAATAGTTTGGTGAGTGCCAGGGCCTGGGTACTAGAGAATGAGCCCTTGCAGTCACTGGGAATGGTACAAGTGAATCTTTTCTGCTTCTTGTAATGCTGTCAGGCCATTGCCTTAAATGGAGCTGCTGCTTTATAGCTTTGAAAAGAATGAAGGGGATCAGCTTGGCACTGTAGCTCGGTGTTTGAGTTAACAAGTCCTCTATTCATTCTTTTAACCCCTCTGTGCCTGTGTTTGTATGCACCTGCTGTATGGCTTTAGCTGCTGCCTCTTGACAGTATCTGCTGCCATTGAACTCCTCTGTTCCCAGGCACAGAGTCTCTCTGAGGGGGAGTTGACTTGGCAGAGGAGCACACTGAAGAACTCAATACTCTTGCAATAGTCATCAGCATTTAGCTCATGAGTGTGAATCAAAGGACTTGCCTAAGACCAAATTTGTTGCAGAGTGAGGAGTTGAACCCAAATCTTTGAACTCTGTCCTGTGCTGTTATAATTTTGAAACACAATCTAGATATTTAAAAATATTTCTTAAATTCCATTGTACTTGTACATGAAGATCCAGTGGTCACTCCTAACATGTTTTCTCCTGAAGGAATGGTTTCTGCATCCAAGGAGAGTGTCTCGTATGTGCTGAATAAAGAAGGAGGTGGCCATGCATCTGTCATTGTGATCGGAGGAGCAGAGGAATCTCTGAATGCACATCCTGGAAGTCTAACACTGAACATCCTCAAGAGGAAGGGCTTTATTAAAATGGCCCTGAAACATGGGTAGGTTTCCCATTTAGGCTGCTGTAGTGAGCATGCTTTGAATGCAGATTGATTCTTAAATATAGTTCATATTGTATAAACTTAGAGATTTTGAAAGAGTTACTTGTCTAAGAACATGCAGATATCGGGCACAGGAGCAAGCCTGTCCACCTAGATCCTATCTGCAAGGAAAACTCCCTTTGACTTTCATAATTTGTAAGCAGTAGGTGTTATTAGCATATCTTGTTTTGTTTCATTTGTTTCTTGCACTAGCAAAGGGTAAGAATTATGAAACAATATTAGTAAACCTTGGCTGGTTTTACTGAGTAGAACAAACATTCTGTTGTCTGGTCTGTAAACTGAAGTTATATTAAGGTAGAATTTTCTTATCAGGTTAAGCAAACAAACAAATTGGAAGGCCAGGACCTGTTTTATTAAATCACTGAAAATTTGTGGTCTAGAAGGATCTACTTTCACCATCATTCTAAAGACTTTCTTTTGAGGATTGTTATTTGCAAAAGCAAGTTCCTGGGAATTTTTTGTGAAAAACTAGCTTACCTTTTATTATCAAGCAGCCATCAATGTGTAACTAAACAGAGATGGTATTATCTTTTGAGTGATTTACATAGTATAAGCTACTGTGTTTGTTCTGGACTGGTCTAGATGGCTTGTAAATTAGAAATATTGGAAGCAATGGCTTGTACCTGATAAGCTTTCTGAAAAGCTCCCAGGATTATATATCGACATGTGAAACAATGAGAAAAAAATACTGGTCTTGAGAAATCTGTAACAGCTTTTTAAGCCATTAACTGGGAAAAGGTGGTCTACAAGAAGAGCTCTCTGTTTTCCCACAGGATGCTAAGGTCTGTTCTAGAAGCTGTTCTTTGTCAAAATTCCAAGAGGGTTTCTTATACATATCACTGGGAGATTCATAAAGGACCTGTTTGCCAGTAGAAAGTAACATTTTAGTCTAATTTCCACCCAGAAACACCTCTTGTGTATTTGAATTAGAATTTTAGTGCCTAAATGAGTCTTTACTCAATTTCTGGACAGCTGCTGATTAATTCAGCAGGACCCTCAACACTTCTTTTGCTTGTTTTAACCATAAAGATTAGAAGAATAGTTAGGTGCCCCCCCCCTTTTTTTTTTTTTTTTTTTGAGCATGTTGATAAATATCTGGTCTGTCAGATCACCAAGGTTGGTCCTTATCTCTCATCTAAATTGATTTGGATTGAGAAATCAGATACACCTGTGCCTGTCGTGGCCTTGATTTCAAAAGCATCTCCAACACACAACAAGAAGATCAGGACACTTACAAAACACATAAATGGCTGCTGTGGGACAATATGACTCTAACAGAGCTCTTGCCCAGAGATTCTGCAGCCATTAATTGTTTCGGGTTTTAATGCTTTATTTCTGAAAAGTAACAAAATGTGAAGAAAGCTTCCAACTCACATGGCAATGAAAGGGAGGCTTGGGTGACACAGATGAGAAGAGCCACCTGCCATCAGTGCCTGCACACATTCCTGGTGCTCATGAACTGCAGCATCAAATACCGAGAGAGGAAGGGGCAATGCAGGAAGCTGTCCCCTCTGCCCCTGGCTCCTGTGCTGCCAGCACAGAGAAGCTGTGTTCCTCAGGTAGGAACTCGTCAAAAGTGGTCTGAGTGTGTCAGCAAAAGTCCTCTGCACTTCTGCAAAAGGCATTTTGGTCCAAGGTAGTACAAATATCTGATATGAAGTGAAGAAATCCTAAACACACGAAACAAACGGCGAATCAGCTGACTTATCTTTAGTTTCATAATCATAAGTTACTGATTTCCCTGTCTCAACCTCCTACATAGCATCTTGCAAAAGCCTTCACCAGATTAAAACAAATCCCACAGTGTCAGGGTACTGTTGCACCACACGATATTCCTGTTTGCCTCAGTGTTGTAGTAAAAAGTGGAGTTTTTACACGGCCACAGGAAGTACCAGGCTTTATAATATTTCCTTTACAGGTGGCTGGTAATATGTGCTCCACTGGAGAAAGAAACTCTGAGCAGACACCAGTCAGAATAGTAGGTGGGAGTGATAGTCTGTGTGAGTCCTCAGGCTCAAGAAGCTGTTGAAGCAGTTGGTTTTTTTCTGTACTGGTGGGTTTTGATTGTCTGCAGTATTTTCCTGCCAGCTCTGTCCTCAGTGCATCCTCCATCCTCCTCAGCATTCAGAGCCACACAGAAATTCATCCTGACAATAGCAATGCTGCTGTTTTACAGTAATGTTTTCCTCAAAGATAGTGTGGGCTGCATGGAGCTAAAATATAGAAGCTAAGACTTAAGTAAAGCAAATAAAACATCTGTGAATCCTTCAGAGACTGCTTAAGATCACACTGCTCTTTTTTTCTCTAAAGTCTTTAGAACATTTAATGAAACTAAGCATTATTCAAAAGCATACTGCAGTCAAGGTCTTCAGTATAATGGTGGATTTACCTGCTGGAGACAACTGCACTGATTCCATCTACCCAAGTAGTTTGTCCAGGAGTCAGTGCCTTTCTCCCAAGCCAATTCATGAACTGAATGAGAATTTATTAGGCTGTACAAGAGCCAAAGCGAGTTCATGTAATTTCTGTGGGTAGGATTTGACCTCTGATAATAATGGATTATTAAGGCTGGTGTTTTCGAAGAAGTCTGGAGGAAGCAGGATTTCACTGGGACTTGGACAGCAGAGGAGAAATTTGGCATTGCAGTCATGTCTGTGAGGATGTCTGGTTTTTATCATGGTTTTTATGCTGAAATCAAGGGCATGCATTACTCTGCTCAAAAGACAAAGGCAAGCCAAGATCTGGTTTTGATGCCACCCATCTGGGACCTTTGTAGGGTTAGAAATGAAGCTTCTTTGCTTCCCAGTGGAGAAAATGTAGTGCAGCAAGGGTGGACTTGCTGAAGTAGAAGTGGATAAACTCGTACTTATGATATATACAATTACTCACTTTTATGATTACACACAGTCATAACAAGTTGCAATAGGTACCAAGTAAACACTGCCAAAAGCTAGTTGCTAGTTGTATGCCTATCACTTTTTTTTTTTAAACACAAACCACCCAAGGCATCCAAAAAGCAGCTGCACATCAGAAGGGTTGAATGCCTGTTGTTGCTGATGAAACCTAAAGCTGCTGAAGCTTTCTGTGCTGGTTATTGTGAAACTGCTTCCATGCTGCTGATGTGTGAACTGCAGTGCAAGCTGATGTGGGGTTCTCAGTGCCCTCTTTGTTTTACAGGGCTCATCTGGTGCCGGTGTTCTCCTTTGGGGAAAATGAACTATTCAAACAAGTTGCAAACCCCAAAGGCTCGTGGCTCAGAAATGTACAGGAAAAGTTGCAAAAGATAATGGGCTTTGCTTTACCCCTATTTCATGCTAGAGGAGTATTTCAATACAGTTTTGGCTTAATACCTTACAGGCAACCCATTCATACTGTTGGTAAGTGCCTTTTCTAATGCTTTTACAAATGTTTAGAAATTCATCAGTGTGCTGCTTTATAAATTTGTTATAACAAAAAGAATTTATTATTGTGTATCTAAAACCAGTATGTGAGGTTTAAGCTATTTTTTTTTTTAATTGCTGTCCTTCCCAGTTAAAAGGGGGAGGTTTTGTCTCCTTTCCCTTTTCTGTCCTAGGCCATATCTTACTCTTCATTCTCAGTTACTCACAGGCTTAGCAGTCCAAAAAGAAACGCAAGGGTTGTCCAGTCCATGGATTCTGGATGCTGCATTTACTATGTTAGAAGCCCAGAACCTTCATTTCTTAGCTCTGCAGAGAAGTGGCAGCTGGGTGATGCACAGCCACCACTGCAGTGCTCTGGAGCAAGGCTACTGGAAGGAACTTGTGTAGTCCTGACCTGGAGTTCATCAGGACAGAGGGAAAGATGGAGGAGGAAAGGGAGAGGGCACCTTGCAGCACCTCTGCCACAGCCCTTGGACAGGCTGCCACTTACATGGCTTTGCAGGTCTTTAGGGTTTTTCCTTCCCCTTTGGTTTTTTCACTATGGAAAGATCCAGTCATGTTTAATTGTGAGTGTTCATGCCAAAACAGGCCATTTGGAAGAGTGTTTTTCCCCAGAAGTTTTCATTATTGGTCATCCACTCTCACTGGAGTGTGGAACTGAACATATTTTAATGGCTTTAAGTAGTGCTATTGACAACCACACCTTTAAAAAAAAAAAAAAGTGATGCTGGGCATCATGCAAAAGCAACAGTTCTCTGTCTGTATACTTTTTGACAAATAATTTTTTGCCAGATTCTGACTGGAGTGAACTAATGAAACCTTTTTCTAAAGAAAAGTAAGTCAAGCTTTTCTGGTGTTCCACAAGGGACATTTAAGGTGGCCCTCCCTTTAATGGAGGGATGATTTTATTTTAGTACAAAGCAAATAAAAAATGTTTAACACAAAAATGTAGCTCTTTTTATGTTCAATTTCATGCAGATCTGTGTTTTATCACTTCATGCAGTTAAATATATTGAAAAGATTTAATTTTTAAAGCCCACATTGTTCACAGGTAGGCTAAAAATGTCCCTTAATTTAAAGCCAGAGAGTTATGAAAGAATTGAAATGAGATGTATTGGATGACATGAGATGTATTTTCTGCAATTTTTCCTTTGGCTGATGACACTGAGACTGTTGTGAAGCTTAAAATGTCTTACTCTGAGTCAAATCATCATTGTTATATTTACTGCAAGTGCAGAGGTGGTCCCTGGCAAGAGCACAGGAGTGCTACAAATCAGCAAGACCAGAGTCTTGCAACAGAACTCGTAAGATCTGATGAAATCCTTCACCTTTATCTTTCCTCATGTTTGAGAGCTATCACGATGTCCTTGTGTCCTTGGAGGCGTGTGTGGGGTATTCTTGGTGTGGCCCAACGTGGCTTGGAAAGCATTGGCTCTGCTCCTGAGAGCTGCAGGGTCACAGTGAGCTCCACCTGAGCCAGTGTCACAGATTTCAGAGTATCCTGAGTTGGAAGGGACCCACAAGGACCATCAGTTAGCTGTGTTGACAGCGTTTTACTCATGGTTCAGAAGTCACGGATCCTAAATCCATTCAGCTAACCAAGGTTTGTGCAGTCTGAGTGTTTTTTGGGCTTGATCAGTGAGGTACTTTTGTTTTTCCTGAAAATTATTACTGCTTTTCAGAAATAGAAACAACTCTCAAATATCAAATTAAGCAGGTTTCTTAAAGCTGCACATAAAATTAGGGAGATGAGTGTAGTTTCTAATTCCACAACAAATCTCCACTCTTGGGAGAAGAGGCTGCTGCAGAAGGGCTTGGGGGTTTGTTTGCTGTTTCCAGTCCTGCTTCTGGAAATCCTGTATTGTATGTATATTGATTTCATACCCCCTAAGGTGTTGCTCAATCCAGGGCTGGGTTCCCAGCCCTATCCACGTAAAGTCTGAATTTCAGCACCACACAGGGCCCCAGAGCTGTTGGCAGCTGAAGCTGCAGCAGGAAAATGCAGACTCAGCCTCTTTGTGGTTCTGGCTAGGCTTCCCCATAGTCAACACCATCCAATTTGAAGTGGCAACATCTGTTGAAAGGGATTTTCAGGTGCCTTTGTAAAAGCTCCTGGGGGTGCTTTTAACTCTCTGCTTTTCTACAGATTTTCTCTGTAATCCCTGTTTGGGTCTGTTAAAGTCTTGGTGCCTCCAGTGCAAGAACAGCTGTAAAACTCTGCAGTGATTGAACAACACAGGGAAGACTGAGATCATGGGAAGCTTCTCTTAGCACATCTCAGGCTTTTTAACCATAGCTTTCTGTAGAGGAGGAGACTGCCCTCCAGACATCCATGTTCCCTCTTGCTCTCGCTCCAGTGGAGCAAGTAGCAGGCTTTGCAGTGCCTGGAGAACATTTTGGTTGCAGTGACATTCGTGGGCAATGGATAGTTCAGAGACACCTTAGAAGGTCTGGGAGTTTACATGCTACCCTAGGCTGAGGTCACTGACAACATTTCTGGCTCAGTGATACCCATTCTGAAAAAAAAAAAAGGAAGGTAACTGTGTTTCCTTCAGTCCTGTTTTGTGACTGGGTGGCTGAGGGCACCTCTGTTCTCACAGGCATGTCCCTCACACTGAACAGCTTTAGTATTCCAATCAGAAGACTGTGAGAAAGTACATTTTTCTAAATACTGTGTTGAACTTGTGGACAGCACATAATGCATGGGATTGTATCTTGAACTGTAAACAACTCCTTCAAGTTAGAACTTAATCCCCTTCTCACTTGCTCTTTTGCTGCCAAACTGAAATGGTGGGGGGTTTAATTCATTTTAACTGAACTTGAGCAAAAGCAAGTGAAAAACCAGGCCCAGGACTCAAGTTTGTGAGAGGCAGGATCAGGCCCCACGGCAAGAGAGTTGTGCTGTGATTCTGTCATCTCCCTGGGAGCTGTGTAGCATCTCTTACAGGAGGGACAGCAATTCTAATTTAAAAGGGATGTCAATGAAGCTAATGTTGCTGTTGTGTTTGATTTGCAGTGGGAAGCCCCATCCCTGTGAAAAAGAACTTGAACCCCACCACTGAAGAGATTGATGATCTACATGCATTGTATCTTCAGAAACTGAGGCAATTGTTTGAAGAACACAAAAAAAATTACGGGATCCCTGAGCATAAATCTCTCATCTTCGAGTAGCAAATTACAATTTGAAATTCCAAATCTCATGGAAAGAAACAGTATCTGCTGAAAGATGTCTTTGTTGCAATCCATATTTTGCAAGCTGTAATTATCCTTATGCAAGGAATACTTTTAAGAAGGGATTATTAGATGATTTGTTGATTTTTATCTTACTCTTGGGTGGGGGGGAAATCTTTGGGATGGGAGCCTCGAAGCCAGTGTTGTTTTGAGTTGTCCTTTTAGGTTTATCTGTACCAGAAATGCAAGTAAGAGACCCCACATAGATGTTCTTACTGCCACTGTACCTACCCATAGCTTGAGCACAGGAAATCGCCCCAGCACGAGATCACGAGCAGGAAAAGTATAAACCCAAGAAGTCTTTGATTAGAAGTTAAGAGACTTTCCAGCATTTATCAAACATGGCATCAGGTTGTTCTCTGAACGTCAGAAAGCCACTGCTGCTCTTCCAGAGAGATGACGGTGTGTGTTTTCAGCAGATGGGTACTGTAAACCATTTACATGAGAATTCAAGAATAAATAGGAGCTTTCAGCCCTGAATAGGATATTGGCAAAAGTGGTTTGTCCAAGTTATGAAGCAGAGCAAACCTTCTGTTTGGAGGAGAACAGTGTTTTGAGCTTTTGTGTGCATGTGTGTGCTGGGTGGTGGGAAGCACTGAGCGATGGGACAATGAATGTGTGGGACAATCTGTGTTTTGAATCTTCAGTTTGGAAGATGAAGCAGCTTTGATAGTTCCAGCTTGAGAGGAGATGGCAGGCACAGGACAGGAGAAGTGAGGGAATCGTGTGACCTTCACACCTTGTGCAAAGCAGAAATGATCACAGGTCGAGCACTTGCACAGAAGGGAGGGGAGCCCGGTTTGCTCAGTCTGGTTCTGAAACTCCACCAAGGAAAGTTGACTTGATAATGCCTTTTTCTTCCCCACTGACAGGTGTGGGGAAGCACGTGTACAGCTGTAGCTGCAGTGTGACACAGCTGCAATGCCAAGACAGTGTGAGCACAGCTGTAGGGTGCAGCAGGTTAAGAGGGTGCTTTGTATATAAACCAGGTGCCTAAAGTTGTATCCTAAATGTGGATATCAATTTCAGAAAAAAAAGGAAAAAAAAAAACCTGAGACAAACTCTTTTTCAGTTAAAATGCCTAGGTCTTGGAGATTATGGTGCATGGAGAGAACTGCAGTATGTTACTGAATTTTTTATGAGATAAATTCTTGTATTTGTACATGCTTTCTATCTGCATGTGGACTTTGCAGATCTGGTATTACTGAAGAGTTTGTTTACTTTAGGCAGTTTTGGTGCCTGAATATTACATCAATTAGGAGCTCTGGCAGGTTGTGCACAGGGCTGTCAGGCAGCCTAGGGCATCTGCAGGTGGTTCAGTTCAGCACTGGGATGCTCCAAGAATAGCAGGACTGGGCACACTGTGTGCTTGCTGGGCTGGAGGCTTCTTAGAAGAAACACTGTTAGGACTTTGGGAACAAGGTAGAACTCTGGAAAGAAAATATCTTAGCAAGATGAAGGTGTTTAAAGAAAAGAGTGGAAAGATCTCAGCTCTTACAGAGTGAACTCCTAATGAACCAAAGCTCCAAAGCCAAACAAGTATTTGCCAGACAGAGCAGATATATGTGTTCCAAAACCCCTGCAGCAACACGTTGGTTTCCTCAGAAGGGCTCTTCCTTTTACTGCATGTTTGTCATATGGATGTAGGCAACACTGAGCCCGTGAATCCTGCTCTCATTTTCTCTTGGACAATAGAGTCTTTCTAGGAACCAGGGCTGGAATTTGCAGTGCCTGAAGAAGCCCCTCTTTCCTGACAGACTGCTGTAAACGTGCCCACAGTTCACCTCTACTTGAGCCTTGATGCCGTGTGTGTTTGCCCTCTCTTCCCATGCCTTTGCTTCCTGATGATCACTGTGGTGTAGGCGTCTTACTTCCTCACTCTCTGTCCATCTTTCCCTGGGGTGAGATCTCTGGGCTGTCTGTGCATGCAAAATACTGAGTGGTGTCTCCTCATTCAGCACAAATGGGTTTTGGGAGCAGGTTTTGAGAAGAGGAAGCACTGTGACTGTACGTGTCTGACACGAGTTTAAGATCAGGATTGTTTCAGCGCTTGGAAGGGCATGTTTCTAGGGAGGTCAAACACAGCAGGTTTTTTCCTGGGCAGAGGTCTGTAGGGTCCTAAGCACTGTACTAAGTAATGAGCCCTGAGCAGTCATTTTTGCTAAGCCAGCCGTGTGAAATTTCCTTTGGATCTGCTTCTTTGCTGCCTGCCCTGATGAGTAGTGCTGATTTTCTCTCCTAGATCATCTGCTCTAATGAGATATTTCCTCTCGTTCTCTGTCTGTTCTTTTTCCATTATCTTATGATATAGAAGCTCAGGCTGTAAATTTAAAAATATTAATGTTGAGAATGGGAAGTAACAATGGATTTTTGTTGACCAAATTAACCAAAACTTCTAGGGAATATGCATTATTTATTGTTATTATTATTATGATACTGATTTGGGGGCAATATGTGGACCAGAGGGTACCTTAGAAACAGGCTTACCTCTGAATTCCATGAGAAAATTATCTGTGGGCTCTGAGTACCATCCATAACTGGCACAGGCAGAACAAGTAGGGATTGTGTTACTATGACTACTGATATTGTCATTGCTTTGTAATAGAGGGAGATGCAGAAAGAAAGAAAATAAGATCTGCAAGCTACTTAAATATTTATCGTTGCTCAATAACTGCTGACTATAGTTTATGATGGTCCTTCCAAACTACCTTTTATTAACCACTTGTCTAGTGTATCTAGGACAATTCTATTTTAAAATAGAATTTCCATCTCTAAAACCTGGTGGACATGGCATCCTCTGAAATATTTACCTCTGTGTTAGTGTGTGGATTTGTGAAGCAGCCTCACAATGATGAGCTCAAAGGCCAGAGCCCTGGAAGCCACAGATGGCCTCATTTTGGCCAGTGAAGGCACCAATCCCACCACTGCTGCAGCCATGAGGAGGCTGCCCATGTTTGTTGGAGCAGCACAGTCTTCAGTTGAGGTTCATGCTGGACAAAGCAAGAGCCAGTAGGAATGGTGACACCCCCTCCCCAGCTGTGACTAGAAGAATTGGGTAGTGCTCAGATTTCTGATGGGATGATCACACTGAGTGGGGTCTGCTTCGTGGTGTGTTTCTCTTTGTGCCTTTTAATGCCATAGGTAGTTCCAGGAAAGGGATTTTAATGCCACAGGTAATCCCACTGACAGAGATGCTCTGCCTCTATACCATGCAAACACTGCCTCCCCAGTGTGCTCAGGATAACAGTACCTGCCTGTTCCCTCATGTGTGAACATCCCTGTGCCAAATTTTGTTTACAGAAAGTCAGTCCTCAAGTATTTTTACTTGGTGAACTACAAAGCATATTTTACATTTTGTAACTTTTTATGGTACCTGTAAAATATGACCATCAGTTGTTTCAGTGATAGCTGTGGCAAGATCTGAGATAATAAAGGTTTGTATCAAAGTGGACTTGTGTTGACTGGAATTCAGATTTGCACCACTGCTCCTCAAGGGGTCATATGTGCTCATACCATGCTGATAAATCAGGGAGTGGGGAAGGTGGATGGATTGCTTGCTGCAGTCTCCCGAAGGGTCACTGGAAACCAGGTTCCTGCTGGGGTTCCAAAGGATCTGAGGAACAAGTGACCCACAGCAGGAAGGGCTGGGCTGCAGCAGCCCACAACCAGGAGCTCAATGCCAAGAGGGCACAACAGGGAAGCTGGAGCACGGGAGGATGGGCAATCCCTTGAGGAGTTGGTGAAATAATAGTTTTTTGAAGTTGAATTCAACTTCAGTTTAAAGGCAAGTTTGAATTTTACATGAAACTTGCATCAAGAAGTCCAAATCTTAGTAACTGTACCCTAGAAAGAAGAACAAAGGTTCTGCAGAGGCTCTGCTTAACTCTAGGAACTGAAGAACTGAATAGCTGTTTGGAGTAAAAAATGTGTTGCATTTGTCCTTTGGGAAGAGGAAAACGACTCACAACAGTGATGTACTTAATGTTTGGGGTTTTTAAGTAGGGCAATGTTACACAGCACTAACAGCTGCAGTGACAAGTGTGAATTCCAAAGCCTAGAAAAGGCTAATTGTATTTTGTTACCATTTTAATACTTTCTCTGTGCAATGATCCCACTTTGCATCTCCGTATACTATAAAGAGGAAAAATGGATAAGAAGTGGCCTTGGATTACTTTGAAGTAGTCCCATTATGTGTGTGCATGTGTAAATTGGAGGCGTGTCATGGTTCATCAGTGGATCAACATCACATCCTGGTGTTGCTGAAATACTGAAAAGAAGCATGTTATACCTGTGAAGCAAGAAATGGAGAAAAACAAGGAATGGAGATGAACTGGACATTCATTCTTCTCAAGGTGCTGCAGCAACACAAATCCTGATCACAACTGCTTGTGATAGGTAAGTGATATGGTGATATTACCTCCTTACCCAAGCAGTTGATTCTGAAGGGAATTGGGTGGCCTGAGGGATGTAGATGTTTCTTTCAGCTGATGTTTCTTAAGGTTGGTATCAATTTCATGTCAGCTGAACTGCTGGAGCAGTGCCCATATTGCAGAACCCAGGAGAGCCTTGTGTTTTTTTTCCAGTTTAACAGGCAGAATAGAGCTGCAGAAAAGGAAGAGAAGAAGACAAAGGAGAGGAGATTAATTTACTTAATGCAGTCATATGCTGGAGAAATATATGCATCTAAAAAAGTAGCTAAAAGAAGGTGAGGAACCATATCCTCTATGGTTGCCTTCCATACACTGAGTTTCACAAACAGCACAAGCTTGGGAAAAGCGTTTGTGGTGCAAAGAGGAAGAGCTTCCCTTAAAGCGTGCTGGGGTCAAGAGATACTTGTTACCCCAATGGACAGGCATTTAACCTGGATCCTTTTCCATCTTGGGCAGTTGTAACAATTACAACTGTTAGCCAGGGGGCATCTTCTGTTTGTGCAATTTATTTTCAGTTAAGTTTCCTTCCGGCATGAATGGAGCCCCACTGCTTTTGGAATAGCCATGCTGAAATTTAATGAACAGACCAGGAGCCCGGCATGTTGGCTGTGAGCTTTTCTTGGCTAACATGAGTCAGCGGTGGTCTCATCTTTCCCTTCTGCAGACAGCAAGCATTATTTAATCACAGAGAATAGGTGTGTTGAGTGGAAAACTCTCATTCTCTTTGTTTGCAGAGCACTGGTTGTCCTCTGGAGACATGAACTACAGCGTTTTCCTGGGGAAGTTGCTTAGGACTAATTCTTACACGTAGTAATACGGACATCTACCGTGCTTCAAAATGCACTGGAAGTCCACGCTAAAACACAAGCCAGGTGGTTTACTTGCTGCTAAAATCTGTGCCGTTTCTCGTTTCGGTAAGTGACACAGCACTGCCTGTTTTGAGTTTGGGGAAGGTGGGGAGCGCCGGGCCGGGATGAGCCGTGCGGGCTCAGGGAGCGCCGCCAGGTGCCGCCCGCGGCCCGTTGCGGGAAGCGGCTCCCGCACCGCCCGTGCGGCGGGACCGGGATGCGGAGAGGAACCAACAACCGATCCTCACCTCCAGGGACAGGAGAGGGCGGGATGCCCTTGAAATTCTGTCCCTGGATACCAAGATTTAGGCATGTGCGCTCTCTCACGCTTCCAAAGCGGCAGGGATGGATGGAAGCGTGCCCTGCCACGCGTGTGCTCCGCGGTGCGTGTCTCCCTGTTCGCCTCGCTTCCAGAGCAGGAAGCCAACGCAGGCGGGGTGAGAGGGAACAGCGGAGGAGGTGAGTTTGTCTTCTGCCTGCCTGCGGGAGCTGTTGGGCTGGTGGTTTGGTCAAGCTTTATGGAGCTAAAACACGCTGACTCTGCCTCCCGACTGCCCGGATTTGGCGTGTTTGTCTTGCGCTTAGGAAGGTGCTGCTGCTGCTGGAATGCATTTGTTCCCTGCCTGTTTTCCTTCCGGTTCAGTGTTTCACCTGAAAAAAAAAAATTCTACGTATGACTTTGCAGCTCGACGTTTTAATTCCTGAAGACGGAAGGAGGAAGAAAGGCACAGAAAAGGTAACACAACTGTTGCTGCTCTGGAAGCTACTGAAATACATCATTGCTTTTTGATCTTCAGCAAAAGGAAAAAAAGACCCTATGAAAAAATGTTTAATATTCTCAAGGTGGAAGCCTGTTTACATTGTACCAGGGGTTATTTTTCAGCGTGTTCATCCTTTTGAGCGATTTTCCCTACCCCGCTCTGCTGTTCCGTACTTGCCACGTTTACCTGAGGGATGCTTTTGCCTTCCTCATTTGCAGTATCTTGTTCCACTGCTGCGTGAAGTGAGTGGCTTTGCTAATGATTGGCCAAGATGTTTTGTCTGCCATTTCCTCCTGCGTAGCCAGAGGTAACCCCGCTCTTTGGATGCCCACTGTCCTTGGGGAGCGGGGTGTCTGCTGCCTGAGCTGCTGCAGGGCTTGCGGTGGTGGCTGAGACGTCACCTCCGCTGCCTTCCCCATCTCCCTGATGGACGTCAGCACTCCTGAAGCAGAGCTGGTGGGACGAGATGCGTGTCCACATCTCAGCCTGGCATCTTGCCTCGACCCTTCGTTGAAACTCGGGCAGACTGGCAGAGGCACGAGGAAGAGGCAGGCGTGGGCAGGAATGTCTCTGGCTGTTGCCAAGGCTCAGTGCACTCACCTGTGAGCATCACCCCATCACTGTGGTGCTGCACATGGCCCTGCTGGCAGGCAGATTTTAAGGAAATTGTGATTCATCTTGAGGTAGATGGCTGCAAGTTTAATGTCCATGCTCGGGCATTGAGGCGAGTGGCTGAAGCATGCTGAGTGCAGTATTAAACATCTCAAGACACTTCATTCATCTTTTAATCTCTCATCTCTTTTGCTTGCAAAATCTAATTTTTTAGAATACAAGTGACTTAGATTTCCAATGTAAAAGAAGTATTGATGTGATTTATATTTAAATATACTCTTTCTAAAGTAATGATTGAATTTTACTGCATCTGTAAGTCACATGGAATAAAAAGGGTTTTTAGCAGCGTGGAAGTTTAGTGTCCTATGCCTTGAGTCTCAGCCAGTGATAGACAACCTTATCACATATTCTGTCATTATTACCTCCATCAATCAAAGTGGTATCAGCCATGAACCAGAGAGAGATAAGTCTGTAATTTGATCGTAAAATCTGCTGAGGTGGAAAATATTTGCTTAACTGTTAAGTAATGCATGGGTGGAGGAAATTGGCATTATTACTGCAGCTGGGTTACCAATGGTGTCGTATGAAATGCTGTAGTCCTGGCTACCACTTACGAATCAAGATAACCCGTATTTTTTAACATTTCAGAATAGGAAAAGCAGTGCTGGAAATTCTGAAATATTACATGTCAGTAATTTTTTAATTGAGCTGTCTGAACACATGGTATTTGCACTCCTTCAGGGAATAAGCAGGCCCTATGTAAACACACACTGCTGCCAAAGGACATTTTACCTGAGTAATGACTGTAAATTAATCCTATTAGATTGGACTCAGGTTGTGCAAAGTAGAAGTTCCAAGGAAGTGCTCCACCTTTCCGCCTTCTCCTGCCTGGTGGATGATGTCCCTTTCAAACTGGGCAGCTTTCTGTGACCTCTCGGTGTTCATTTTGATGGAAACGTGCATTAGGAGTTGTAGTTTGATATATTAATAGTGCCTAGTGGCTCAACTTCACCATGGCTGGTGTCTTGGCATAAGGATGTCTTTCTTTTGTGGATCTCCTCTCTGGACTTTTTCATCTGAAGGTGCAGAAGTGGGGCATGGGGGTCAAAGCTGACAACTTCCTTTTGAAATGAAGGGTGCAGTACTCTCTTTAAACCTGCCTTTTTTTCATATGTAGCTTTTGTGTCCAACTCCTGCATCCTGATAGCAACCAGGGAACGGTGTGAGAGGTTTCTGTTCCCAGCACTGGTCAGCATCTCCTCACTCCCAGTGACTCTGCCCCTGCTGATGGCCCAGCCTGTAACATCAAGTGCTCTCCGAGCAGTGGCTGACAGCGCTAATCTGCATTACATAGGATTAAACAGGCACAGTAATTAACTTGCATAAGCGCTTTAGCAACTTTTGGCCTTTGAATTGCAGTGTGTCCTGTATATCGTGGTGCCGAGTCTCTGTAAGCTGGGGGTCAGCACGGGGCGGGGAGGGGAAGGGAAGGGCGGGGGTTGGAAGTTGGGGAGAAGAAAACAGAAGCTGAAATTCCAGCTGCCAACAGTGAGCTGGAGAGGGGAAGCACAGGGTCAAGCTGAAATAGCTGTTGTCACTGTTTTCAGGAGTCAAGGTGTGCTGAGTATCGTACAGGTGTGTTGAAAAGGCAGTACGGGCACTGGTATCCACAGCTCTCACTGAATCCACTCAACCATGAAAGGAAGGGCTTCATTTCTAGTCCTGTGTTAAATGTTGTTCCCAGGTGAGAAGTGAAGCTGTATCCATGAATTTACTCCTTCAGTTTTATAGTGTTCAGTCATGACAAATCATACCTTCAACTAATTCTGAACTGCTGTGCTTGGAAGATTTAGTTCAAATGAGCAACCCTAATCTGAACTAAAATGTAGATATGTCAATAAACTCCCTCAGCCACTATCCTCATGTGCTGGATTCTGCTCAGTGCCCAAATGTCTGTAGACTTAAGGGCATTCATCCCAAGAAACACTACAGAAATAAGTCCAAAACAATGTACTTTTCACTGGTGCATGGCAACTGTTAAATATATCTGATGCAGCTTATTCAGATCTGCTTTGACTCAGAATAACAGCAGGGAAGGTTGAAATGCGTTTGCTTGTAGCAGCGTCTCTTTCTTTGTAAACATATGGTTCCAGGGGGGAAAGGTCTCAAAGTCAGGAGGAAAACTTGAGAAGATTTCACTTCCCCACTAAACAGCGTGCTATCCTGGGTCTTATGTGTGAAGCCTGATTCAATTTTACATGAGGCAAGAGTGAGGAGTCACCAGCAGGTCAGCTGAAATTTCTATACCTTGAGGAAAAAGTCTTGATCCAGTCTGACTCGCAGAAAATGTGGGTTTCTTGTTTGTTTAACTTTCAGACTCAGGATCCTCTTACAAGCCTCACAGGAATGTGTTCTCAAGACCTTTTTGCCTTTCTGGAAGCGTTGTCTTTGGACATTTCGGAGCAAAGCACTGAAAGTTTTTTCATCACCCTGATAGTCCCATAGCAGTCCAGCTGTCTCGGGAGCCTTGGAGAAAATGCAAACAGCTGAAGTAAACAGAACCCTTAGGTATGATGGACCTCAGTGCAAAGCCACAAACCCTGTGGGAATGAAGCACTTCAGAGAAACATATTTCAGTCTGATGGTGCAAAAACTTGCCTGTGCAAAAGCAAATACAAAGGGAAAATTGTTCTCAATCTTTTTAACCAGGTAACAGTGGGGCTGGTCCAGTAGCCTGAATGTGGTCCAGAAGTCAGGACAGTGGATTGGCAAACAGGGAACAGGTTCACAAAGGACTAACCATTTTGTAATAAACAAATCATTAACTGATTGCCCTGGGATTCAGAATGGGCCCTCATCCTCTGTGCCTTGGTTTACCTCTTTGGCCAGAGCATGATTACTGCTTCCCAGGTATCTGCTGCTGCAAACTGCTGGAAGTGTAGCTAGATCCCAAAACCTGCTGGCACGCTCTGGCAGGTATGGCTGTGTGACAGGCTGCTTCCCCTGCAGCACCTGGGACCCCACTTGTAATAACCAGTCTGTACAAACACTGGTGTGAAAAGTGAAGAGAAAAGCTGTTTTAGGGGCCTGATCCCAGCAAATGCTGATTTTTCTTGTCTCTCTAAGTCCAGTGCTGAAACACTGACCCTCACTGCAAGGTGAGCAGCTCTACCTGGAGTATCTTGAGAAGTTCATTCCCCCCTGATGGAAACCACCCATGGGTGTGATTCTTATCTCGGTTTGAGCATGCTATCAGTGGAGGTAAAACCAGTAAGTGGTATTGTCATCAACTTGGATCTTTTTTAAGCATTGAAGTTTACTTTCATAGAAGAGAGAGCTCCTAGATTCCTTCCTCAGACAAAAAATTTTTGGTTTAAAAGCTGGTATAAACTCCATAATTGACCTTTTCCATAAGAGATGGAAAAATTAAATGGACACATTATTTATTATTATTATTTATCCATTAGTAAAAACCAAAATACGTAAGAAAATAATCCACACTTGAAATAACAAAACCAAAAGTATGACTCTAATAACATCAAATTACTTTGAAGTTAAATTAACTGTTTTAGAAATGGAATCCTAAACCCCATGTCTTGTTTCTACAGGAATCTCTTCACCTGATTTTGTATGACGATAGCCTGGCACTCTAAACCTTTGGGAAAAAGGTAACTGGTTTGGATACCTGCATGGAAATCTCCAGTTCTCGAGGTGTTTATCACACTATTGGTCTACAGTCCTTCATGGTGGCAGCAGGATAATAATGTTGATGTGCTTGATATTTATGTGGTATTATTACAAATTTTGCTAACACGTGTGATGTGCCCTTTTCGGCATTGCAAAGATATTCTTCTAATATTGCTTGACTGTATTGCTGTGATTGCTGCCTAAGATTTCACACTGCAAGATGGTAAGAGCTAGAAAAAAGTAGGGAAGAGCATGAAATTGACTCTTTCCATGTAAAATTGCTAATCATATGCCATTGCATGTTTTACAGAGTTGCAACAAAAAAATCTGATTTTGCTTCCAATGAAGATTTGTATTGCAGGGCCCCTGTGACACCTGATATAAATGCAACTTCTTTGCTTAAGGCAAAGTGGTGTTTGTAAAAGAGCATCATTTCAGCTGTGTGCTGAGATTTAAGATGCTCCTCAGTGGCCAGGCTGTGGGGTACAATGTCTGCTGTTTCATTCACAATTCCTGTTCAGCTTGATGCCACTCCTGACCCCATCTACGCAAGGGGAGGGCTGCTCTGCCCTGTGGTGGTTGAGGAGCAGTCAGGCACAGCCTCCTTAGCTTGGCCTGTCGACAAAGGCATCTCGATTGCCCTTGCCATGGTGGTGTCCCACTGGAGTCACCTGCTGCTCCCAGTCAAAGGGTGGGGTGAGAATGGGGCTGAGCCAGGCTCTGACATCAATGGGAAGTGGTCTCAGAGGTCTGCAGAGACTGATTGTCTTTACTTAATCTGTGAGAAAGCAAAACCAGCTGTCATTGGGCAGTGCAGATGGACAGCTGTGCTTTTAATCACTTGCATTAAAAAAAAAATATATGAAAATCAATTGGAATATAGTGTACAACTGTCCCCAGTCGTGGTTCTGAGGCTCCACCATGGCCACCTGCTGGCTTGTCCCTTCTCCAGCCCTGGCTGCAGAGGAGGATTTGTTGCCTTCTCTGTTTTAAGCTCTACCCTTCACTGCACAGGAAAACTGTGCTCTTGGCCAGGGTCCAGAGTTGTAACTCTGTTGCCAGAATTTATTAAGAAAGCACCAGCCGACCTTCTGTATCACTTAATCTTTTCTCTGATCATGAGCACTACAGAGGTACCTTTGTAATGCACCAGGAGAGATGTTTGATGTAATGCCAATGCTGCTAAGGGCTTTCATTATTACTTGGGATAACCTTCAATTAAATTTTCAACAGAAAAATAGCTTTTTCCTTGCGTGGCAATATATTTGAATTTATCAGGTATTGAAATAAATAGTATTGTTAAAAAAACCAGTCTGAGCTTAGGTAAAACATGATTTCTCTACACCACAGTCAGCTAGATCTCCAATTTAAATAATTTATAACCGTTTGAAATAAAAAGAATTAGAACATAATGTCCAGAATTAGAACATAATGTTAATGTATGAAAAGGGCTGTGCATCTAGCCCTAAATTTTGGCTAGGGCCTTGCAGCAAAGGAGCTACCCTGGATGGGAGATGTAAAAAATTCATTAATGAGTAAATAAGCAGTTCTACATATATGTGTGTGCATGTATGTAATAAAATGGCAGAACTTTCTGTAGCTAATTTCTTATTAGCTGTTAGAAATTTTGAATGGTGGCTTTTCATATGTTTTCTTAGTTCTCTCATGAAGCACTGAAGTCTAACTTACAGGAATGTGAAGCAATCTGAGAGTTGTCATTGCTCTACAATAGCCCAGATCAAATCAATATTGAAGGGAAGTTCAGTTTCTGTTGTTTTTGGTTTTTTTTTAAATGTGCATTAGTTCCGTCAGCACTCTCATCATCAGTCCTAGGCTTGTTTCACCTTTTTACATGAAGTGCATACCTGGATTCTCAAAATTATTGCACTTAATACAGCAATATTGATGTAATTAGGTGAAACCTTTAAAAATGTATATATACACAAAATTCACCTGGATTTCTGTCCTGCTCAGATCCCTCAAAAATGTCCTGATTCATCACCAATTTCAAACAAAACCCTTCGATTGAAGAAATAGGCACAAAGAACTAGAGAGGGGATCTGGATGGAGGTTTTCCTGTTTCAAGTCTGAAGAGTTCAAATCTGACTTCACAGCTGAAGTCCAGGTGTAGTTAGGGGACCCATGCCATGATTTCAGCAGCAAGTGAAGGAGGACTGAACAAATTAATTCACCGAGGCTGAATCGCAGCCTTAATTACATGCGACGTAGGGTAATGACAGTCTTGGGCTGTGACAGCAGGTTGCTGGTATTCTCACTGCTCATCTGCTGCTCATGCCTCTCCCCCAGGGAGGAAGCTCCATTTTGTTTATTCCCTAAACTGAATCATTTCAGAAATCAGACAGCCATAGCCAGAGGAGCTGGAGGAGCTGAGGGGCTGACCAGGGCTGAGGGTGCAGCAGCTGAGAGGGGCTCCAGGGGATCATCCCTTGCTGGAGGAGAAGCCTGGTGGAGCCTGAGCCTTAGATGTGGGCTGGTAATGCTGCAAGGAACCTGAGAAGCAATGCCATGGATTTCAGTAAGACATGAGATTCATCCCTGGATCTGCACCTGCCTGAACACCAGAGGTATTTGGATACAGAGTGAAGGTTTTATCTAACAGGTGTTAACAGAAATGCTCTGACTTAGGGGAAGGGGATTTACTCATGCTGGTTTTAGGTCAGCAGTCAGAAAAGGAGGGAGTAGCTTCAGTCTTTGGAACTGGCCATCACTGCCCGGGGGTGTCTCTAATTTAAATGTCTGTTGGTGGCCCTGGCTGGTGCTCAGCCCTACAGCCCAGCAAGAGGTTTCCTGAGCTAGACCTGGTAAAAATAAAGAGATTGGGATTTGATTGTCTTTTTGTTTTGGTATGTAAATCTTTCTCCTTAATGGGCAATAATACTGTAGAGGGAACTAGCAATGGATTTAAAAAAAAAAAATCATAGAATAGTTTCATAGAAAAAAAATATGGATGTGTTAAGAGCACTTTTGTTTTGTTTCCCTTATTACAAGCTTCTTCATGTTTCTAAGACCTTGTCTGAAATGGGCTTTTAGTGTCTGCTTGGATTATAACAGTGATGCAAATTGCTGGTGCAGATATGCTGCCACTAAATACACAGTGACTGGAGCAGGGAATACCCACTGAAAATTCAGAGTATGGAGGGGAGAAGGGAGAGGAGCGTGCATGGGGCAGGCTGTGAAGTGTAGAGTCCAGTGGTAGTTTTTGGTGGTGTTTGTTTATTTTTGCCCAGGATATGAGTAAGAGAGGACTCAAATTTAACAACCACCAGAAAGTGAGGTGGTGCAGGGCAGGTGGTACAAGAAGTGGTGTGGAGTCACCTGCCCTCCCACAGGCAAGGATGTCAGTCATTAGCACACAGAGAAGTGTCTGAAATGAGGCTGCTGTGCCCCCTTTGCTGGTATCCAGCAACACAAACAGGCACACCAGGCACATCAGCCTCCCAGGTACTTACCCACATACCTACAGCCAGGCTGTGAATTCTTCAGTTCAGCAGGAACCAACACCCTCCTAACCCAACACCAGAGCAGTCTGGCTCAAGCGAGAGGGACGTGATTTTGCTTTTTAGTTACCAAGTCTTGCATCTAATTGAACCTCCTGCAGGGGAGAAAGGCTGATCTTAAGCTCCTAATTCCTTGTTTAGATGTGACTTAAAATAACTGGCTTTGGGGAGCAGCAGTGCCTCCACTGATCCCAGTGAGAATTGTCATCCTGCCAACACTGGCTGCAGGTCCCAGAATTACCACTGCAAATGACATCAAAGGCCTGCTATCCTGCCTTCCTCATCACCCATGAAGGACTGAATGAAAAGCAAGATCAAGAGCTGCTTCTGGCCCACCAAGGCCTGAAGAACCTGGCTCAGTTTTACCTTCCCTCCCTGTCTCATTTCAGCAGGAGCTGTCAGCCACTGCCCAGCTGGGCTAAGGGTCAGGGAATGCAGTTGGTGAGAGGTGATCACTAAACCTGTCATGTAGAGAGGCTGTTACCACAAGTAGTGATGATGAAATAGGATACGGATGCATAAATTTCCTAATTTTTTTTAAAATATATCTGGCTTTCTGTGAATAACTACTTGCTTGTCAGTTCAGGTCATCCATAACTAGCTCGTGCTGCCACATTTTGAAATTTTAGCTCATGGTGGGAAAAATAAAAGCACGTAGGGGGGAGGTGTCACTAACAGCAAGTGATGAATCCTGGCACTGTCAGCATTTTGGATGATGTGAACACATCTCCATGCACTCAAGTAATCTGTATCCTTGTTACTCATCATCATGTGTCCAACCATAACTATGCTTTTAGTTACATGGCAGCAGAAGTATGCACGTTGTTTTTCAAGTATGAAAAGGCCTTTTCCTTGTGGCTGGAGCCTCACATGCTAATTTGCCAGCCTCTTGACTTTGATCCTAGTCTAGCACAACTGCTGTAAGATCAAGGGCTCTGTTCCAGGTACCACAACATGAAGATGATGGAGAGCAGGGGTCACAGCAGCTGAGCTGGAGTATGTGAGTTGAGCTGGCAACAGCCTGCTGCAGATAAAGTTGTACTTGATGGCTACAATTCTTGCAGAAAGGGAAAATTCAGAATTTTCATGGGACCCAAGCATTTGATTCAACAGGAGGATTGGTCTGCCCTTCTCTGGTGCCAGTTTTTGTTGTCCTCTTAAAAGACCTGTCATTGAAATATAACATCCTCCTCTTAAATACCAGCAGAAGTTCTCCTGCCTGCATTTCCAGCTGGCCACAGCTGGGCTACTCTGCAGCTGGCACCTCAAATGTGACCTTTTTGGAACTTAGGTTAGCCAAATCCCATGATATCATAGCATATATATATATTTTCTAAACCAAGAACTGGGTTCTGTAAGCGATGTGTCTCTTGAGAGCCACACTGTAAGCCTCAATCTGAAAAAAAAACAAACAAACTTGCACCACAAAAATGTTAATAGCAAATCCTTTGCACTCTGGATTTGGAGCCTGTCAAGATTTCAGTCTTTGTTTATAGAAACACTGATGTCTTATTTGCTGGGATTTTTTTTTTTTTTAGGTGAAGACTAGTTTTTATTTTGTACTTGTCCCTGGTAAATGAAATGTAAGAAAACCATGAGTTCCCCAAGAGTGACTATGAGGGCTAGAAGTACTTTGGGAGTGGTACTTTCAGCAGGTTGGGAGATCTTAATGCCTTGGCATAAAGAACACAGCTATTTAGTATTTCTTCAGGCAAAAGATATTACTAAATATAATATCAAACCATTAAATAAGTGTGATGGGGTGTAATCTGTTCCACACTGCATGATTATATGTTTGCAGAATTGTACCATTGAATTTCTAAAATCAAACTCCAAGCTAGATTTTTCTCTTGCTTAAGAAAGTATCTGCTCTTTTCATGGTGTAATGACTGTGATGTTAATTGTTAACTTCCGTGCTGGATACTGAGGAGGGGATGAAGGGAGTAATAAAAAGGTATAAAGGCCTTCATGAATTGGTGTTGAAAACTGTTAAGGATAGAAATAAAGATGGATCAGTTAAACAGGTTTTGTCCAGGAGTTTTACTCTTTGAGTTAATCAGAGGAAACTTCATATTGCAAAAAAATCTGGTATCTCTTGCACTTCCTTATTTTTAAGAAAGTAATAAGGATAATTTATAGCCTTTTAAAATAAGTTTATTGATAAATATTAGTTCTTAATGGTTTGTATCATGCTTTCTTTGCCTCAGATGGAACAAAGCAAATGACACTCGATGACAGTTTTTCTAGCTGATCATAACATAAAGGCATCCAGATTTCACACATTGATTAGTTATTCCACAATAAATTCAGTAGCCACTTTCATTATTCACTATTACCTTTATATCATGGTAATTACAGTGTCAGCTGAGTAGTCTAATTGTCTATTACACTTAAAATCTTGAAAAAATCATACTCTAATATATTGTAAGAATACTGTATGCCAAGTCAACCCTATAGTTTGCAGACACTTCTAACACATCCATGTACTACAAAACTATTGCTCTTATTTCTGTAATGTAAGAGATGAGATAGAACTTTAAGTGTAAGTGACCTAATATTTGTCAGGTCTGAGATTTTACATCCATGCACCTCGCCAAGTAATTAGCAAGACTTATATCTAGGTCTCCAGAAAACATTATTCATTTCTGCTTGTTTACATAAGAAGCAATTATTGCCATACCCTCCCCTGGTGAGCAGTAATACCTTGCTTCAAGAAAAAATAATGCTGTTTCTGTGTTAGCATCCTATTCTGGAAGAAAATGGAGCTGACTCAGTGCATGCAGTCGAGCTCTCAGAACTGACTTCCAGGAGCAAAACAGGTTATGTGAGAACATGACCTTGGTGAGCTGTGCTAATGACTGTGATTTAAAACTCCAGCCTTTTGTCTCGAGTAGAGAATTAGACGAGACAAAATGCGTTTAAAAAAACACAAATTGTGCTGAACAACATGTAGATACAGTTAAAAAAAATATTACAATTAGTAACTAGGTGATCTCTAGCTATGGCAGGGTCAGTTTTTCCCAAGCTGGCATGTGTGGAAACTTGTACTAAACCCACAAAGTTTGTGTTTGTGGGTGGTCTCCCTGTGAATACCTGCAGTGTGGTGGTGTCAGGTGACACCTGGGCTGCACAGGAATGCAGTGGTCATGGTACTGAGCACATTGGCCCCGTAACTTCACTGGCTGGCAGAGACCAGCCCCAAACGTATTTTGTAAGTGATTTGTAGCTTGAGAGGATAAATTCCTGTTCATCACCTTCTTGCCAGAGGTAATTTCTGTTTGGACTGGGGTTAGAACCTCTTGGCAGGGGTTGTCTCAGGAATGTCCAGCATAGAGTATTCAGGAGCAAATGCTCCTTGTGTTCCAGATGGACCACCCTTTCGGGATTTAAGAGTTCTTTGAATTATGGTGTTCTCCTGTGAATGTAATAGCGTTTTAGTCTCCTATGGGAAAGATTTAGGGGAGCTATCCCTTAAAAATATTCTCAGCACATGCAAAGCATTGGTTGTTCCAAATTTTTACATACATTTGCATATATTCTCCTTTCATTTCTTAGAAACGCTCATGTCTTTGAAATATCAGAGGAGTGAAGAGGTACAGAGTGCAGTGTCTGGAAGAACACGCATATGTTCTATTAGCTGATAAGTAATCACTTTGCAGTGATG